CTCGGAATTGCGTCGCCTGATCAAAAATATGCCTACCGGAGATAGAAGACCGCGATCCCGCAGTCGTCGTCGTGATCGCCGCGACCAGTCAACTACCAGGTCCCAATCTTCGTACCGGAGATACCCTACCTGCTGGTACCACTCAAAACACGGAGACAAGGCTCACAAATGTATCAAGCCTTGTGACTACGAGAAGTCGGGAAACGCAAAGGGCAGTCGGTAATGGCGACAGCTGATAGCCCAACCTCTGGTCGCCTGTTCGTCACCGACAGAAGGTCGAAGATACAATTTTTGATAGATACTGGCAGCGATCTATGTGTCTTCCCCCGGACTCTGTTACGTGAGCGTCGTGCACCTACTTCCTACAAGCTTTGCGCGGCCAACGGGACGACCATCGACACCTACGGTTACTACCATTTAAATTTAGATTTTAATTTACGTAGATCTTACCCTTGGCGCTTTATTGTTGCTAATGTTACAAAGCCTATTGTAGGAGTAGATTTCCTAGCTTTTTATAATTTAGTTGTCGATTGTAGAAATCAAAAGCTTATAGACAATACCACTAGCCTTTCTGCTTCTGCTTTGTTTGCACCTTTTAATTGTGTGAGTTCTGTAAAAATATTGACCGGTGAATCACGCTTTCATAGCTTGCTTAATCAGGAATTTCCTGATATAACGCGACCAGCTGGCACTCACCGTAACATAACACACCACACACAACACCACATTCGTACCACACCAGGTCCGCCTGTTACAAGCACACCAAGACGACTGGCTCCAGATAAGCTGAAAGTGGCTAAGCAAGAATTTGAGGCCATGCTTGCTGATGGTACAGCGAGACCCTCTGATAGTCCCTGGTCGTCACCTCTTCACCTGGCCCCCAAAAAAGATAACGGCTGGAGGCCCTGTGGGGATTACAGACGACTCAACTCAAGGACCATCCCCGACAGATATCCAATTAGACACCTTCACGATTTTGCTTATTCTATTGCTGGCTGTAAAATATTTAGCACTATAGATCTCGTGAAGGCGTATAACCAAATTCCTGTTTGTCCAGAGGATATACCCAAGACGGCTATCACCACCCCATTTGGTATGTACGAATTCCCATTTATGACATTTGGTCTGCGCAATGCAGGCCAAACATTTCAGCGATTTGTCGATGAGATGACGCGCGGGCTGGACTTCGTATACTGTTACTGTGATGACTTTCTAGTCTTTTCTAGAAGTCAGCCGGAGCACGAACATCACTTACGGCTACTGTTTACTAGACTCAGGAAGTACGGTATGGTGATTAATGTATCCAAGTGTGTATTTGGAGTTCCCGAGGTAACCTTCCTAGGTTATCGCATTTCTGAGAGCGGTACCAAACCCTTGGACACTAAGGTAGAAGCTATCCGTAACTTCCCAGCACCAAAGACTGTCAAGCAGTTAAGAGGTTTCTTGGGCATGGCGAACTTTTATCGTCGTTTTTTGCCAAACGCAGCTCTTACCCAGGCTCCCCTCAATAAGCTTCTTACCGGTGCAGTCAAAGGTTCAACTCCCATTGATTTAAATGGCGATGCTCAGAAGGCTTTCCAAGACACCAAGGAAAGCCTACTCAATGCTGCAATGCTTGCCCACCCTGATTGCCGAGCCAAGTTAGCATTGGTGACTGATGCGTCAGACTTAGCCATGGGAGCTGTACTTCAACAGCTGATCGAAGGTAAGTGGCAGCCATTAGCGTTCTTCTCTCGGAAACTGAGCCCAGCGCAAGCGAAATACTCACCATACGATCGAGAGCTTCTCGCTATCTATGAGGCCATCAAGTACTTTCGCCACATGCTGGAGGCGAGGCACTTCACAGTGTTTACGGACCACAAACCCCTCACTTACGCTTTTAGTGATCGAAAACACAACTGTTCACCCCGCCAGCACAGACACTTGGACTATATCTCACAGTTTACGACCGACATAAAGCACATTGCCGGTAAGGACAATGTCGTTGCCGATGCTTTATCTCGCGTCGAAGCACTGGAAGCTCCAATCTGTCTAGAGGATTTGGCTCGATCGCAATCGTCTGATCCTGAACTGGCTGAGTACCTGGCTAATTCTTCTTCCATCCGCTTGCAACAAATTACCGTTCCTGGGAGTCGTACGCTTCTGTACTGCGATGTCAGTACATCGGCACCCAGGCCATTCGTTACAAAACAATTTCGCAAGCAAGTTTTTCACAGTCTTCACTCTCTTAGCCATCCAGGGGCCAATACGACTGCTCAATTAGTAGCTCAGCGATTTGTTTGGCCCGGAGTCCGAAAAGACGTCAGAGAGTGGACACGTGGTTGTCTACAGTGTCAGCGGGCAAAAGTAACACGACATGTCTCTGCGCCTATAGGTAATTTTAACCTGCCGCGAGCCAGATTTAAACATGTCCACATTGACTTAATAGGCCCTCTCCCGATTTCGAACGGCTACCGCTACTGTTTGACAGCCGTCGATCGATTTACCAGGTGGCCTGAAGTCTGTCCAATTATGGACATTACTGCTGAGACTGTAGCGAAGTCTCTTATTACCAGCTGGATATCTAGATTCGGATGTCCTATAGACATCGTTACAGATCGCGGTCGACAATTTGAGTCCGCATTGTTCCAGTGTCTTGCGAAATTTGTAGGGTTCCAGCATAAACGCACTACTGCATATCACCCCGCATGCAACGGACTTGTCGAGCGCTTTCATAGGCAACTCAAAGCAGCTATTACTTGCCACGCCGATGTTAACTGGACAGAATCCCTTCCATTAGTGCTCCTGGGCGTCCGAACTGCTTTTAAGGATGACTTGCAGGCTTCCTCGGCTGAGTTACTGTATGGCGAGCCTCTCAGACTTCCTGGCGAATTCTTCAACCCCAGTTCAAGCGGTACCACTGACTTGTCAGATTTCACCGCAAGGCTGCGTTCCTTCGCTGAGAAATTGCAACCAATAGCAGCTTCTCGTCATCACAAGGGCAGAGTATTCATTTTCAAAGAGCTAGCCACCGCGGATCACGTCTTCCTCCGTGAAGATGCTTCGCGGGCTCCCTTTCAACCAGCATACTCTGGCCCTCATAAAGTTTTAGCACGCAATGATAAGACATTTAAAATATTTATCAAAGGTAATAAGGTAACCGTCAGCATTGATCGCCTAAAACCTGCTTTTATATTGGTGGATGACGATGGTGCTGATATTTCCTCACCAAAATCAACACCGCAAAATAAGGTAACAGAATCGTCACCACACATTCCTCCAACACCTACAAATATGTATCGAACAACACGTTCTGGAAGACATGTGCGTTTTCCAGATTTTTATCGTCCCTAACCAGGCCTTTGGGGGGGAGTGATGTGGCAACATTATATTATTTTCCACATATACTAATAAATAAACATAATATACATAATTATAAATAACATACATATCATATATAACAAAATATTATACATATTAAATATACATAATTATATTATATATAAACAAATATTCACAAAAACATTAAATTACCATATTAAATATCTATTTATAATGACGTGCCAATTTGTCGTAAGTTCGGAATGGACACGCGCACTCTAAACGAGTTCCTAGTTAAATTCTTTTGTTCGCGTAACCGACTCCTGCGCCGGCCGTTCAGTAGCCGCGCGCACCAGTCTGTATCACGATCCCACGGCGAATGCATGACTGTTTGCGCTCCGTTCGGACTACTCAAACCTATTGTTATTGCGTATGTTCTACATTATAAATAGTTGTAAGACCTGCCATTCATTATTCCAGTGTGTTACTAGCCCTTCTGTGACTGTAAAAATTGGATTAGGTAAATTAAAGTGAATATTCAAAGTGACGTGTTTGAATTGAACCAAGACTCGACGTCTACCTATATTTCATCTGCTACCTAACCATATAAGTATGATCATTATGAGTTATGGAACGATTAGATTTTCTGTGAACCTAATGACATCTCTATTGAAATTAGGCTGTCAACATTATTTTACGGAATGACATTATGAAACGTCATTTTACTGCAGCTAATAAAAAGTCGAAGTATAGGCGTGGCACCAATGGCGAGGCAGACTCGAGTAGGTCGGATAATTTTTGCGCGTACTTGAGGACAAAGGGAGTCGTATACTGCCAAAGCATATGGGTGAGCAAAAAGACTGCACTGCCAATATTTCTAAAACTAACGATTGCTTCCTAGTCAAAAAGACCGACTCGCTACGCCGTGTCGGTTATTTATAATTAGTTTTTTCCGACAAAAAACAAATTTACTTATTTTATCTAAAACAAAAACAAAATTTACTAGAAAAAATCCACGCGGTCCAGGCCGCGGACGGGACTCGAACCGAATCTGGTATCGAATTTGGTGCTAACAAACTCACAAAACATGATGAACAAAATTCGATGTAAAATTAAATATTTTTATGTAGCCTTCAGAATAGATAAATACTATTGCATAAACATAATTCAAATATTTGTGGGGTCAGGCCGTTCTTAGTGTTATCACATTCTTTTCACTTTCGTGAATGTGCTACTGATTGACTTCTCTTATTTTATTGATGGTTGCCGAAAGGCTTACCTTGCGTCTAGGTTGACTCTTCCCAACCGATGAATGTCTTATACCTAACATAGACTAATGTGTTTGTCAAAACGTCTACAACACTGCAGGATTTGCCGAAATTAATCCTTTGGGTTTGCAAAACTCTGTTAATAAGAAAAGCATCTGAATTGAAGATTTTTGTTCTATATTTATATTCACCTATATTTATTGGTCCAAATAAAGTTAGTGTAACTTCATTGCTATGAACTGAACGATAATCTCGTATACTACCACACAGGTCACTAATATTTTTATATTTTGTTTTAATCACAGCTAAAAGACTATAAATTAAATGAAATGAGATCTTAGAAAACGTTTTCTAAGATCTCATTTCATTTAATTTAAGTACGTACTTAACCATAAAGTTATTACTGTTAATTTAAGACTTATTGATTTCTAGGTATTTGAAAATCCCCGACATTCCCGCCGATGTAGCTCAAAATAATACTATTCAGGACATGCTTGATCTATATCAGAATCTCATAGACGAGTTTAAGGAGGTTCACAAACGTACCCGGTTTCTGCAAAAGGAAAACGCGTCGGAAATCATCAATGATATTAAGGAGATGGCCGTGGAGAGGGATATCGGTAAGTAATCCCACGTATCTAAAGCTTACATGAAGACACGGGATGAAGGGATCGCAAAAATAACAACTTATGTGCCTATATCAAGCTAATATTAGCACAAGCAGATTATTATTTGATGTTTTGCTTTTTATTATGTAAATATTTCAATAAATATTAAGTACCTTTGTGGAGTAGAAAGAGCATTAAATTTGCGGCGCACTATAATGCCATTATGCGAAGTAGATTTACAGATATAAAAGACCTCAATGATATCAACTTTGGCATTTTTTGGGTCTATTTGTTGCCTCAAAAAGCGGGTTCTGAACACAACCCGAACCCGCTATCCGAAAGTTAAACCAATAATCCGAAGAGTGGATTTAAACCCACATGTGCAAATCTCATCAAGTAGATTTTTTTTCAGTAAAATTTAAAACAATATTTTGCCAGCCTGATGGTATAAGTGACAATATTAGGGTGGATGCAATTCTAGATTATCACTCAGGCTTAACCTACATATTATCTTTATCATATCCTATAACTTTCCTCCCCAACAGAGTACAGAATTACCGTACCACCAAAAAGTAGTGTTATTTTACGCTGATATTCGGTAAGGTGGAGATCTGTCAATGTATATGTTTACTAGCTGTTACCCGCGACTTCGTCCGCGTGGAATAGTATCTTTGGGTAGCATTTTTAATTATTTACTAAAAATCATTAGTAGGTATATTTAAAAAAAATAAAAAAAAAATAGTAGGTATAAGGTACCTATGTATTCCATTGAGTGGCAGAAAGTACCTAGGAAAATTTATTGGTCCCTTATGTCCAAGAGACACTTACAGGGGTCAGCGTCACGTTGTGTACAAAAATATTTTAAAATGACCTAATTTTAAACATTTTTGTACACAACGTTTGCTGTTTTGTTATTATTTGTTAAAATGTGGAGATTGTTTGGACTCGACACTCGCGAGCAGGCCACGTACAGTTGGCCATGCGAAAAACAGACCTATGAGGACTAATCGATGATTAAACTAATCAATTAAAGGATCATAATCAAAAGCAGCATCGGCAAATGCCTCCCACGTATTCATCGTAAACGTAAGTCTCCTTTCTGCTTGCCGCTCGGAATTAATTAAACGTCGTCTATGTGTTTCTTCGGAGGTCTCTTCGGCTATGTACGAAGCTTGACGCTCAGCATTCAAGACTTGGTGAGCTTGGGCCTGCTGAGAGGTCTCTACAGCTCTTTGAGCCGCGTGACGCTCCGCATCCAAAACGACTTTGCGAGCTTGGGTCTGCTGAGAGGTCTTTGCAGCTCTTTGAGCCGCGTGACGCTCGGCATCCAAGACTTGGCGAGCTTGGGTCTGCTGAGAGGTCTCTCCAGCTCTTTGAGCCGCGTGACGCTCGGCATCCAAGACTTGGCGAGCTTGGGCCTGCTGAGAGGTCTCTGCAGCTCTTTGAGCCGCGTGACGCTCGGCATCCAAGACTTGGCGAGCTTGGGTCTGCTGAGAGGTCTCTGCAGCTCTTTGAGCCGCGTGACGCTCGGCATCCAAGACTTGGCGAGCTTGGGTCTGCTGAGAGGTCTCTGCAGCTCTTTGAGCCGCGTGACGCTCGGCATCCAAGACTTGGCGAGCTTGGGTCTGCTGAGAGGTCTCTCCAGCTCTTTGAGCCGCATGACGCAAAGCCTGCTGAGAGGTCTCTGCAATTCAATTCAATTTATTTGCATTAAATAGGGTACAAATAATGATGTTACATTTCATCTAAGTTGTCTCTTAACCTATTTAGTCATGTCCATAATTATCTGAATGTCATAATTAGAATGGTCTTGTAAAGAATCAGAATTAAATGTTATATTTAAACCCATTAAAGCATGTCTTTAACCCATGCATCAAACCCTACCATAATAGGCTAGTTGACCCTTTTTGGAAAAAGGTTTTAAATGGTTAATAAATGTTCTATTAGACCGAAAAAAAATGTATTGTATTTTTTTTAAACCTAGAAAGCTACAAATCTTTAATTTTAAAACAGACTTGTCATGGACATACAAAAACGCTGTCGGCCATTTTAGTCTATAGATTATCTATGCTATGACGTGAACTGTGGTAAACAAAAACTCGTAAACACGTAGAAAATTACTTAAAACTGAGTTTATAATAAAAAAAAACATGATTTCTAATAAATACCACGAAAAATAAAGTAATTATCATTACTGTATTGTACGAGAATATAAAAACACATCCTTGAAGACTCCAGGAAAGTTGTGGATTAAAGTGCCGAAAGAAATTAACCTATGCAACTTTATTACACTTATTCATATGTTGTATCAGTTTTATGTTTATTACTACATTGTAATACTAAATGCACTGTACTTACATAGATGCCTTGTCGTTTCTCTGCTCCGCAGAGCAGAAATCGGGGTTTAGTGCAACAAATTCACCAACCATCAATGCGTCAATTCTTGGCAGATTTGTGCTTTCTGCTTTTACAAAGCCATATTAGTTTTGTCAAAATAAACTAAGTTTACTGTTTATTTCTTTCCTAAAGTTAAAAGTGTTTTAAGATAAAATTAGTCAGACGAAAGAATCCACCTACAGTAACACGCGAATGACATTTAGTTGTTTACCACAAGAGACGTCAAAATCATGGCGGATGTGGCGAACAGCGTTTTTAGTGTTTATAAAATATAGACTAAAAAATATTTTTTTAAATTAAATTTCTACAGCAATCTTCTGCTTTTATGAAGTGAAATCGGTATATTTAGGTTCCTTAGACCAAATACTTTAAGAAATAAATATTTATTTAATACAATTCGACATGAGTAAACTAGCCTATTCATGAACTCAACGATACTGTAAAACGTGTTTTCATTTAACCACTTACGAAGTTTTGACTTGAACTTATTAAAGGTTTGGCTTTTAATTTCTTCTGGAATTTGATTATAAATTTTAATTGCCATCGCCGGTGCATTTTTTTGGAATCGCTTTGTTTTCGGAACTATGTCCAGCTCAGCAGCTCTTTGAGCCGCGTGACGCTCGGCATCCAAGACTTGGCGAGCTTGGGTCTGCTGAGAGGTCTCTGCAGCCCTTTGTGCAGCATGACGATCAGCGTCTAAATTATGACGGGTTTGCGTTTGCTAAAAAGTTTCAGCAGCCCTTTGAGTTGCGTGACGCTCGGCATCTAAAGTCCGACGGATCTGTGAATCCTTTTCCGATTCCAGTGATCTAGCAAGTTTAGCAGCCCGAGCTCTGCTAGAGCTATTAGCTAAATTGGACTTTCGTTTGCGAGTCATCGTAGAAAAACAAAATAAAAGGAATCGAACAAAACAGATGTACAGATTGAGATTTGTTATCATAAAAAAACCTTTAATAAGTCTGCCCTCACGTGTCTGCCCGTTCGGGTAGGCATAGTTAGATTCATGCGCTCCCCCACCACACGACAGCGCCGTTGCCTGCCGCCACACTTCGGTGAATGTGCGCCACGACGACCGACGACCGACGGCAGCGGCGGCGATGCAGAGTATTCGTTAAAAGGAACTTAAACTTCAAAAGCCAAATTGTTTTTTTACTTGATACACCCAAAACTTCTTAATATCATGTTCCTAGGTTCAGTGGTTAAGATTTTGTATTCAAAAATTTTGGCTTCGTAGTTCCCAATCCCATACAACTTTTCACCCCCCCTTTTAACCCCGTACAACCCCCTTTTCGCAATAAAAAGTAGCCTATGTCCTTTCTCAGGGTCTAGACCATCTGTATACCAAATTTCATTCAAATCCGTTCAGTAGTTTTGGCGTGAAAGAGTAACAGACAGACAGAGTTACTTTCGCATTTATAATATTAGTCAGGATTAGTTAGGATAAATGGTACATCCAATGTTACTTACACATACTTTTTTTCATATTCATGTTTACAGTTATAAAACGACTAGAAAATGTACAAATGAATTTAGTAGACGTTACCAATAAAGAAGAGTTACTTAATGTCAGCAAGATGTTGAGGCAGCAACAAGAAAAGATTAAGGAATTGGAAAGTCAGGTGAGGACTAAGTTGGATAGCGTGAACATTTTATGCCAAGTTACTATATCGTTTTTAAAACTTAGTATCTGCATTCTAACCTCACTGTACTTCTTTCTGATGCCAGGATATAAAAATAACCTGTTTAAATAAAATTAATTTCACTGTTTTAGTATGAAGCACAACAAACGCAGTTAAAAATCGCATCGGATCAATTGAAGAGGTATTTAAGCGTAATCCACGGACAAACTGCTACTCCAAAAACTGCCAATGATGTCATCAAACATTTGAAAGAAGAGATTCAGGTAAGGATATACCTACTTAAATCATTAAGGTGTACTATTTTTATGATTTGTTTATTTGAACAGAAACTTAACCTTGCATGTTTATATGCAAGCTACTTTTGACCTAAGGTACAGGCAATAGAGACTTCTTACGGCTTTTCTGTGCGTCCCCCGTCAATGAAATGCCAAATATGAAGTGTAGCTTCGTGAGGTTTCAGATTTTTTTGTTAGTACAGTGATATCTCGAATAGGTTTCTTCGACTACTTGCTTACTTTACTCACATTATAAATTATACATATATTAGAAAATTGCTGATTTTGGAATAGGTTTATTATATATAAATGAAAAAAGTAATAAAAATAGACATAAAGTAAGTAACGCTAGTCATAATTAACCTAAGCTTGCTTTATATCTCCTTCTAGGAATAGAATTTTGGGAGCCTCCGTAAGTCACTGAACATAAATAAAATAAATCATCACTCTGACAAGCCTTTTAACAAAGAATACACCTTTAAAACTTTATGATTTGCGATGCACAGTGTTTTATAGAACCTAAAATATTTACACCTTAAGGTTTTTGCATAAATCAATTATTTAAACCCTAATAAAGGCAAGAGTTCAATTCCCAGATCACTATTTTAAGTAAAAAAAAAGATATGAAGTAGCAAAGTTTTTGAAATTTGCGCATGAAAAAATTAACAATTTAATTTCCTCAAAAGACGGTTCCATATCTGTCCATGAGATATTTGCCACTTGCTAAGGAATTATTGATGGCATAATTTTGTAATTTTATTTTATTTATAAGTGTCCTAGTTTCCAAGAAATATAGTTTTTTTTAATTTCGATTTTTAATTTTTTTCTCCAAAAATCGGCAAAAGTGGAACCTGGATTTAGTACAGAAAGGTTCTATAAGCCAAGTTCTATCACCCATAAAAAAATCAAGTTTCACTTTTGCGGTTTTAAGAAGTTATGACAGAATTTAGATAAAGGTCAACTTTCATGATCTAGGGTTGTCACAAAGGTCAACTATGAGTTAAATGAAAATGTTAATTTTTTTGTTATTAATACCGTCAATCAATTAAATAAATTATATTATATTATAATTGAATAAGTGTTGTACTTATAGACGAATACAATATACTTACATATACTATCTACCTAATGTAGATGGGATGATGTAGGAATACTTTGTTTTAATTTTGACGACCACATTTTAATTTTGCCTTACACGCTAAATGGCAACGAAAAAATAAACTATGTTGTTTGAAAAAATTTAACACACATCCTATACTATAAACGAGCAATTATTGTATGTACCTATATAAATATATTGGTATGTAATTGGTTTCTCGGAAACGGATCTAACGATTGTGATGAAATGTTGGATTTAGAAATTCATTCACATTTAAAATCAATCTAGGATAGTGTCATCACCTGCCGGCACCTACTTTATGCAACACCTCTACTTTAACTTTTATACAAATAAATCATCGTCGTTTAATAATTCTAGGTTGCTTTCATTTGCGACTTTCGAAAAATCTTCATCTTCAGCATCTTCCTCTGCTTCGAATAACGGCAATCGATCTGCATCAATTGGTTGTAAGAGCTCGCAAACAGCTGAAGGCAAGGGAAATCGCTTAGAATATTTTCGACGTTGGCTGATATTTGCCATAGAAATAAACGAGTCTGATGATTCTAGGGCACGGTGAAAGAGGTCCGTCATTGTGGTTCTCCTGTTCATTTTTCGGCAATGACGCTCTCTGTCTGAACGCCAGAATTTATTTCGGGACTCAGCTGCTTGTTCAGATAGCATACCGATGGGCAGTGCACTGGACGCAATAATTTCTTCACCGTGCATGAGGATTTTATGAACTGTTACTGTCATCGGGTGCCAACTATAAAAACGGACATATTTTTCAACCCTAGATCATGAAAGTTGACCTTTATCTAAATTCTGTCATAACTTCTTAAAACCGCAAAAGTGAAACTTGATTTTTTTATGGGTGATAGAACTTGGCTTATAGAACCTTTCCGTACTAAAGCCAGGTTCCACTTTTGCCGATTTTTGGAGAAAAAAATTAAAAATCGAAATTTAAAAAAACTATATTTCTTGGAAACTAGGACACTTATAAATAAAATAAAATTACAAAATTATGCCATCAATAATTCCTTAGCAAGTGGCAAATATCTCATGGACAGATATGGAACCGTCTTTTGAGGAAATTAAATTGTTAATTTTTTCATGCGCAAATTTCAAAAACTTTGCTACTTCATATCTTTTTTTTTACTTAAAATACTGATCTGGGTATTGAACTCTTGCCTTTATTAGGGTTTAAATAATTGATTTATGCAAAAACCTTAAGGTGTAAATATTTTTGGTTCTATAAAACACTCGGTATCAACCCTAGCATAAAAATTTAAAAATTAATATCTTCTAAACGCCGCAAAAGTGACACGTGGCTTATGGTGGTATGATAGACCACATCCGTAGGTTTATTTCTATCTAAGTTCTAGGTTCCACTTTTTCGTTTTTAGGGAGAAAAAACAATAAATACGAAATACAAAAAAAAAATGCTGCTCCCAAACCAATGCATTTTTTTAAGCTAAAGAAACGCGTTTATATGCCTCTGACTATGCCCGATTGACACATATTTATTAAAAAAATATATTGTTAATATTCACTTTATAAAAAAATATTCTAGATTTCATAGGTCAAAGGTCACGATAAGTTCATGATTTTTTTTCTCAAAAAGTATTTGAGTTAGGCTTCTGTAAATTGAACTCATGCCTTTTTTAGGGTATAAATAATCTATTTATGTAAGAACCTGAACATGTAAATTTTTTTGGTTCCATAAAACACTGTGCGATGACGTTTCCTTCCCTTCCGTATACTTCCTGTAGAAGTTTGCACAGGAATGTTGAACTTGTGACAGCGATTTATCATGCAAAGGCAAATGAGTCAGTTGTTGTAACATCAAAAACATGTAGCAAAATTTTTTGCAACAGCAAGCTGTTAGGTACTTACACCTAACAGCTTGTTGTTGCCCAAAAGCCACATTAACTGTTGATTTGGGTAATTTCATTTTTCAGACTGATTTTTTTGTTTTCATAAATCAAAATGTAATTTAGTAATTTTTTTTTAGTTCGAATAAATGTGACTACAAAGAAAACACAATTCAATTAATTTTTTGCGAATTTATTAGGACCCACTTGCAGCAAATTTGCTAAATCTCGATCCAACTAAAACTATATTTAATCCATAGAAAATGTCAAAACTTTAATTTCAATTTGACATTATTTTATAGGTTGAATCAAGTTTCAGTTAAATTGAGATTTAGTAAATTTGCTGCAAGTGGGCCTTATTTATGATTTAAATTCAAATGTAACTCCAAACAGCATTAATGTACCTAATTGGTTGTGGTCCGTGGTCATCATAGACCATTGACCAATTTTTGCATTTGGTATACAAAGTTATGAGTTTCAAAACCTGAGTTCAAAACAATAAAAATATTGAACGACCGACAATAGAAATGTCATTAAAGTTTAAGAGCAGCTGCTTTGCTGCGAATCTACTTATTTCAGAACTAGCGACCGCCCGCGACTTCGTATGCATGTAGTTAGTTAGAAATAAAGGTTTACTGCTCGTTCCCCGTAGGTGATAGCGTGATAATACGTAGCCTATATGTTGATCCAACTTCTTAATGATATTTGTGCCAAATAAAGTAAATAAATAAATAATAATAAATTTTATAAGTAAATCCATGCAGTCCTTTTTGAGTTTATCCCGGACATACATATAGACAAACAGACAAAAATTCTAAAAACTATATTTTTGGCTTCGGTATCGATTTTAGATCACACCCTAAGTATTTTTTTAAGAAAATATTCAATGTACAGTTTTGACTTTCTTACCATTTTATTATATGTATAGATAAGTAGATTCGCCAGACCATTCAGGTGTCATTTATTATTATTATTGGTTTTCAGTTAAACAATTATCTTGTAAAAGAGAAATTACCTCAAGAAATGGCGAGCCTTCAGAAGGAACTGAATATAATGCAAAATATTGCCACAGAACAGCATCTCACTCGTTCCGATTTAGTTTTAGTGCAAGATAAGGTATTTAATCACTCTTAATTATTTTGTGAGAATATGATTCACTTTTATCCGAACGTTAAAATTTCATTTAGAGTAGACGTTCATTAAAATACTTTAAAACAAATTATACTAAAACCCATGATTTCTTTAACGACTTACTTTTCACATTACGGATCATTTGTAGCTTTTCCTTATTATCTAATGAACAGTATTTTATTGATGATTGAGTATAAAGTTTGCTGTTAATATCAAATTCATAAAATAAGGCCTTTATTTTGACTGTGAAAATTCTAGATTGCTGCAGTGAACAGCGAATTCGAACAACTGGTACAAAGGCGGCTGGCAGCCGCCGGACCTCAGGAAGACAAGCTTGCGCCGTTTCGGCAGCAGGCGACCGTAATCCGACGAAACAAGGACGCGAGTGCTGTGCGAGTACATGAGCTTACTGCCAGTCTGAAGGACTACGAAGCCACTTTGGCAGACTTGCAGTCACAGGTTCTTATGAAAATGTGTCTAAAACTTAATTTACGACGGCCCGATTATCTAGCGGTTAGGGATCCTTACTGCGAATTCGGCGGTGGTTGGGAGCCTTCGGACTGTAAGAGGACAAGCTTGCGCCGTTCCGGCAGCAGGCGAACGTTATACGGCGAAACAAGGAATTGCGAAGTCCCTTTAGCAGACTTGCATTCACAGGACAATATGTAAGTTGTATTATAAATAATATAAGATCCAATTTGCGACGGCCTACTTGTTCTAGCGGTTAGTGATCCTGATTGCGAAGCCGACGTTGGTTGGCCGCTGCCCGACCATAGGACGACTATCTATTGATATGCACATATTGTTAAATTTGAAAATTAATGAAGGTTATTTAAATTTATTAACAGTGTTGTGTTTTTGTAAGCCCCTACGGGGTTGGGGTAATCCCCCAAACATCCAAAACGTTAAAAAAAGTCATATTTATTTTATTCCATTTTTATATGATTATGATTATTTATCGGTTGCAACAAATCAATAAAAATGCGTTTGCAATGTCACAATACAGTCGAGAAACTCACAAAAAGATTCCTTCAAATGTAAAAACTATTTGGATATGCTCTAAGCTATTTGGAGTGCATTACTTTTTATATGACCTTAGGTTTATGTACTATATTGACGATGACACAATTCTAGAACATCGTTGATAAATCTGGTGGCCAATTTCTACAGGCAGAATTTCGGGCAGGGCTCAAAGTTTACATGAGTCGATTTCGCCTGTGTACCGTACTATTGTCGCACCACTAGGATTGGGAAAAGTTTCCGCCCCTTTCTAGTTATTTTACACGAACAAAATGAAAAAGATCTTCGTTTAAGAAACTTTTACGTGATATACATGTCGCTATTGAGCTGACCTTTTCAGTATAACTCCTCTATCTATACTAGAATATTGACATAATTTGATTCACTTTGAATTGAAAATTGTTATTAATTCTAAAAAAACCGGCCAAGTGTGTGTCGTGCCACGCGCAGTGTCCCTACACTGTGGTAACTACAGGCAACTACGGAAAGGGTTCCGTAGTTGCCTGTAGTTACCAGAGTATATTTGAGCAGAAGTCTTTATTTTCTGTATTTACAGCAGTAAATACAGAAAATAAAGATTTCAGTCAATACAGAAAATAAAGACTTCTCAGGAAATTAGAAAAGCCAATTAATATCAATCTATGTATTTCAACTAATAGTACAGTCAATCTGTAGGTTGAGTGGTGAAAAAAAAAACCTAAAGGGTAAGTCTTGTTTTTTCTGTTGCCAAACGACGTCAGTAAGCCACCTTGGCGATGGGCATGTTCAACTCGTAGGCGTTTTTTGAAAAACTCAAAAAAACCGTCGCAAAATCGCAAAGTTGTTTCGTACATAATTACCAACAACTTTTGTATAAACAATTTTTTTGTATTACTTACCGTTTTCAAGCTATAAATTGGGCAGGTATGAAAAATCCAATAGAGCGGTTTTGGGCAGTTCAAGTACACATTTGCAGTGCACATTTACCTTAACTAACAAATCTATCTTAACCATTATAATTTTCCTTAAAAGTTCATGAAAAGCACTATTATCATGAAAAGAAACGATGGGGTGGATGATGAAAAAAAAACATCCCCATGTTACATGTAGGGTAGCTACCCTAATAAGAAATATTTCTCAAAATTTTATTGTACCTTTTTGTCGGTGTGATCGATATACATATCTCCACAAAATTACAGCTCTCCAGTGCTAAAAGTCTCTAAGCAAAATCGGGGACGGACAGACGGACATGACGAAACTATAGGGGTTCCTTGTCAGGACTACGGAACCATAAAAAAGGTATGGTCAAGCGACGCGATGGCTATTTCATACTGAATTAGGTGTTACTTATTTATTAAAAAGTGCATTGAAATTGTACAATTTGTGAATGCGTTGCATTGTAGGGTTTTTTAAGTGTCCTAATGACTATTAGGTTAGGGAAAAAGTTTCTTCGCATTTCATATGAAAAGGAGATTGTTCAAATTGGCCTAAATGCACAAAAAATTTTGACATACACGGTAATTCTTGGTGTAATTTATAATTTAATTTACAGTCATTAGATTTCAACGGCCACCATTGTATAATATATGTACTTTAAAAAGGACTTTTAATTTTACCGGTTTGGAAAACATACGAATCATTTTTAATGGCTATGGGTGTAGTAACATTCAGCCAATATCTGATCGAAGTTGTTTATATAACATAAAAACAAATCTATTTTGTAGATCGATAAAATAAATCATTTTTTTTATTACACTGTGGTATTCATATCCACAACTATATTATCATTTTCACTAGATGCAAATGTGCTCAGACAATTATTATAGATGGCAGGCGACATCATAAAGTCTATTGCCATACATTTTTCGCCAAACACCTCCATAAACACATTATAATCTGTATATATGTTACACTTTAAGGTATCTATCTATCTATGGGCCTACGTTCCCTGACTATAAATTAATAAATAAATAACATTATAAGGTGTGATACACAAAAAATCTAAAATATGGTCTTTCATCATTTCATCTTAAAACATAACAAAAATAATGAAGCTACTGAATATATGGCTATAGAACCTAAATCTCTTAGCTTTCTTTGGTTAACGAGAGCTTAAAAATTCTCTCTAATCTGTGGCTCATTCACAATCATCACACAGTTTCTGTCACAGAGTACCATATTATAACTGGAAATGACACCTGATTTTAAAAGTTACTCTTATGCATTAACTTTAAAAATAGGCAACTATCTGTTAATCTACATGCTCTATATACCTGAATCTAATCTATTATTTCGTTACTTGGCTTGATTTCCCTAGTTTACTATGTAACTTATTTGTTTTTTATTATTTTAATTTATAGCTATTAACGGGATTGTTACCATGTACCTTGTTTTTTATGAGTCTCCGATATTTCGGCACTGTTGCAAGCGCCATGATCACGGAGTAACTGAAGTAATTGCGGGTAGATGTTATTGGCAGACATATCGGTCTACCCTCTGACGTCGTCTTTTACTGCGCTCGATACCCCTACCATTGGTCACATTCTCACTATTCACTCGCACCTGTTCCCGACACACAATACTCACAGTATCCGATCGCGGAACGACACTTTTTTGATTTTTATGGTTTTTGCACAATTGCAAGACAATAACATCCCGACGGAATATGCCAAGTTTTTGCATCATTGTTTGACGACGAACTTCTTTATATACCAGGGTCAGTACTACCTCCAAATAGATGGGGTCGCAATGGGCAGTCCGGTAGCTCCAGTCGTTGCCAATATATGGATGGAGTATTTTGAGGAAAAAGCTTTCGCCACCGCCCCCACAGAAATTGCACTATAGAAGAGGTATGTTGATGACGTATTTTGTATATTGAGAGGAAACAAAGAAGATGTCGAGGCTCATTTGGCAAATTTAAATGGAGTCCATACCAAAATGCATTTCACATATGAGATGGAAGAAGACCGAAGTCTGGCATTTCTTGACGTAAAGATTCGGGTGCGGAATGATGGTTCGCTGAGTCATTCCATTCACCGCAAACTCACACACACAGACCGTTATCTCAACGCCTCCTCGCATCACCACCCCAGACATCTAAACTCTGTAGTGACTTCACTGACAAACCGTGCATATGACTTGTGTGACAAGGAACACCTGCACGAAGAGTTGGAGTATGTACGGCGGGTCCTACAGAATAATGGATACAAGGGACAGTTTCCACCCAAACACAAATTAAGGCACCAGACACACATAGTAAGCAGGCAACCAGTATTTTTGCCATATATCAAAGGAGTGACAGACAAGATCTCGAACATACTTAATAAGTACTCACTGAATACTGTCTTCACTCCTTTACAAAAAGTGTCACAGTTTTTACGATCTCCCAAAGACAACTTCCCTTTGGAGAAACCTGGTGTATATAAGATCGACTGCAGCTGTGGTAGTTCATATATTGGCCAAACGAAGCGGACAATAGCGTGCCGAATGAAAGAACACATAAAAGCAGTCAGAAACAATGATACGCAGAAATCAGCTATCGCGGAACATTTAATCGATTCGGGTCCGAATCACTGGATTGAGCTCCATAATCCACAAATCATCTCGACAGAACGCCACTACATACCAAGATTGGTCAGGGAAGCGATTGAAATAACCAAACACAAAAATTTCAATCGTGAGGATGGGTTTAAATTGTCAAGTGTCTGGAATACAGTGGTTCGTATGTGCAAAAACCATAAAAATCAAAAAAGTGTCGTTCCGCGATCGGATACTGTGAGTATTGTATGTCGGGAACAGGTGCGAGTGAATAGTGAGAATGTGACCAATGGTAGGGGTATCGAGCGCAGTAAAAGACGACGTCAGAGGGTAGACCGATATGTCTGCCAATAACATCTACCCGCAATTACTTCAGTTACTCCGTGATCATGGCGCTTGCAACAGTGCCGAAATATCGGAGACTCATAAAAAACAAGGTACATGGTAACAATCCCGTTAATAGCTATAATGTTAGTGACCATGAAAGTTTAAAACAATATTATTTTAATTTGTTCAGTGTAAATGGTTTATAGAAGTTCTCAGGGGTGTCCGTCAATAATATTCGTTTCTACAGTAATTTATATATAATTTCGAATCTAGGAAACAATTTTTCATAATTATTGGTCTTTAGGCCAAACATGTATGGAAGCTGAGCAATCTCCTTTAAAATATTTTTTAACAAAGTTTATTTACATTTAACTAAAGTATGAAGATGCCATTTTGTTCAATAACTTTTTGCCATCTTGTAGGTAGGGACATGATCCCATTGCTATAGAAATTTTGGGGCTTTTGATCAAAAAACAGACCGAAACAAGTGGAAACCTAAAGGTGCAAGGTCAGGACTAAACGGCTGATGTATTAACAACTTCCAGTCAAACTTTTTTAATTTTTGCTGAGTGGCTGAATGTGTGTGAGGTCTAGCGTTATCATGATGAACAACCACACCCCTTCTGTTGAATAGTTCGGGTCGCTTTCTTTCAACTTCTTGCTTTAATCTCATCAGTTGTTTGCAGTAGAGTTCAGAATCGATGGTCCTGCCTGGCGGTAACAGCTCATAATGAATAATGCCTTTCCAATTCCACCATACACACAGCATCACCTTATTGCGAGTTTACTCGGGATTCGCCAGAGTATGTGAAGCCTGCCCGGCTTTTGACTATGACCTTTTTCGCACGTTCTTGTCGTATGTGATCCACTTTTCATCACCAGTTATCAGCTTCTTCAAAATTGGTTCGGTTTCATTATCTCGTAATAAAGAATCACAAATGAGTAGGTACACAGTTCATTAGGTTTCTTTCACTGAGCTGTTGAGGCACCCATATTTAGCTTTTTTGTGTACCTTAATAATACCAAAACCAGCCAGATACAAATAGAATAGCCAAAGAGATTTTATAACAAGTTCATACATGATATAATGCCAAAAGCCTTTTCCCCCAACCTAGGTGTTATTTACTCAACGTTGTTGAGTTCTTTTGCCAAATTTTCTTCTTCCTCCCAGCTGAAAGAAGTTCAAAGCTGGTATTATTAAAAAGTATCTGGCTCCCTTATGATTATACGTCATTGATTGAGCTATACAAAACATTGTTTTTACTTCCTGCGGAAATAAACTATTTTTAATTTTATAGAAACAAAACATAAGGTGCGCCTTTAGTCATATGATCAGGACACAAAATGATACATATAGGCACTGATTTATTACATCATGTCGTGTTATACTTCTACTGCCCTCGCAATAATTAACTAGAGCTCGGACAAAGCTACTTCTGTTTTGCCACATACCTAAACGTTATTTAACACGCCAGACAGCGCAGTAAAATTTAGAAAACTATTTTAAGTTAGCAACAAAACAAAATAAAACGATCATTGTAAAAGTAGTCCTGTGTTTTATATATTATATTTAGTTTGATACTGAAATATTGTTGCGAGTTGTCTGGAATTTATAATTTCTTATTACCGATATAGGTAACTTGCTATCTGCCAACCTTTAATAAGTACCTACTTGCAAATAGGACGGATTCTACCATAAAAAGGTAAGAAACTGTCTAAACCATGTTTATTAGGACATTTTGTATGATATTATCTTCTTAAACTCGTGTGATGTTAGTCCTAATTGTCATTCCACCAAAATAACCAGGGCACTCTGCATAAAGTATTTAGGCATTTTTATTGACCAACATTTAAAATGCATTTAACACATTAGCTCGCTTATTCTCAAAATAAGGAAGCTTTTATATGTATTTAAGAATAAATACGCATTTACCGATTTTAAAACAATAAAAACAATTTCCTTTACGTTTGGCCAGTCAATTCTGATATACTGTGTCTCGGTTTGGGGCTTTGCGGCCAAGACAATGATGATGCCATTAGAAGGGCACAAAGAGCGGTCCTTAAAGTCATATGAAAAATACCATTTCGTTACCTTACAGCACAATTATACGCTGATACCTCAGTGTCGACGGTTAGGAAACTTTCTGTCATACTGTCATGTTTGTCGTGCTTCGTAAACATGCACAATTACCTTATGATCCATCATAGCTTGCCCGTAGAAGCAGTTCAGATCTAGTCTGTCGTGTCCCTCTCCTTAGAACTGCTTTGCTGCCTAAAAGACACCAGTTGTATTTTATATATCAAATGTTTGAAACATGTTTGTAACGAGACACAAAGCGTAAAATCGTCAATTGGTTATTAACTCTTAATTATACAGAGTCAGAAAATATATTACCGATTTTTTATGGATTGGTCCGAAAAATGACTCGACCCCACCTGATGTTAAGTGACGGTGAAGTCCAGACGCGAAGATAGCTGACACAGCAGTTCTACTTGCCACATCAGCCATCCTCACCCTGCCGGCCTGCATGTTGCTCCTACACGCACTCACACAAAGAAACACACAAACATACACACACACTGAAAACGGCGATTGAGTGGTAAACTTCGTAACAGTAGGTAGTAATCTACAATGTTAGTCAAATACTTTAATCTAGTAGATGTCCGCCTATGTTATGTTTTACGAATACCTATGTCAAAAATACTGTTACGCAAATTCCCCAAAAATAGAATATTTCTAGTTTGGGAATTCTGGTTTATAAATGTAGTCACTTAGCAAGATTGTTCCGTTAAACTTAATCCTACGATTACCCCTAGCCTACAGGCATCGTGATGCTTTCCGATATAAGAAGCACAGGTTAATTCCTAGATCGTTGTTTGGGAAGATGACCGATGGAGTAATGGGTAATTCTTGGCATAACAATAAAATATTGTATTGTACTGTTCTAGATATAAGAAAGATTATTTATCAGTGATTTTTTTTAAATAGCGAGATTTCCTTTTATAATTGAGAAAATCTTTGTTAACAGTGATCACCGAAAGATTGTATCATACCCTTCCATTAATGATTAAAACATTTTTCTCATTTAGAATAATCGCTCGATTATGTCGGCAGCCTCGAGATTCTCTTAAGATAACACTTCCTTTCATTTGGATTGATAGGAAAATATCTTCGATTACTGATAATGAGATTCGACTAGGTAGGTACATATTTTATAAATGTTTCAAAGTCGGCTGCTTTTGTAATATCGAGCTTGATCCCTTATCTCGGAAAATACTTTATTCTTTATATCTTCAGACATAACTCTGCTGTATTAAGGGCTTTAGGGGTTTTATAAAATACATTTAGTGTCCTCCAAATTTTGGATAAGACTATCAGAATCCTAATAAAGTTTTACACAAAATATATTCCATGAATTTTAAAGATGTTCACAATTAAATCATGTTTAAACGGTGCAAGTTTAAAGTTGACGAGATAATATCAAAAACTCTTTGGGATACTGGCTAGCTCATTACAGTATGAACTGAAGTATACAATAATCTAATTATAGCTTAAGGATGTGCCTACTATACAGAAATAGCCGCCATCAATTTATTTCTGAATTCAGGTAAGGCAATTGCTTGGCGACACCGTGCTGCGAGGTGAAGAATTGAAGAAATACGTCAACTCTTTGAGAACGAAGAGCACAGTATATAAAAGGCAACGGGCGAATTACTCCACTTTCAAGGTGAGCGCTTGATTTATCGAAGCCCACTTAAGTTGCTCGTTTATTCTAATTTGTGAACAATTTTAACGCTAGCACCTGTTCTCAAGGTCGAAGCCGGAATATTAGCCAGAACCCTTGATATTATAAGCACTGCTGACCCCACCGTGGAAATGGCTCTGGTGAACCATAAAAAGTTGAAAATTGATGACGATGAATCGTTGGAAAAGGAGCAGAACAAATCCGTGGACTTGGCGAAAAAATCACTGCACGATTTATCACAGGTGAAACGGTCCGAGGCTTTTTAAAACTCAGAAATTGAATTTGGTTTTAGCTAATATTATGAAAATGGTCTACTGCCACAATTTATTTTATTAGTCGAGTAGAAATTCTACTGTATATATTAAATTTCTTTTTAAGTATTATACGGTTTAGATTTTAAATGTATTCAGTTAAATTCAATTCAATTTTATTGCACTCATGTGGTTACATAGATGTTTACAAAATGCTTATAGTACCTAACATGACCCCTGTCGGGGTATCGCAATATATAGTCTTAAAGATAAAAGTTACAAAAGAATTTAATTAATAATCAATTATGTATATGAGGAACCTAATTTGTATTAAACCACCAATCTGTTCTGGTAAAATACTTAATTAGTAGTAGTGCAGTCTGCCTATTCTGGCCCGATGTAAAATTTTCAATTCGGAGATACAGTAAACAAAATTATGTAAAAAATCGGAAATTTTCCGTAGAATTCAACAAACCAAAATGCAACCAATTGGCACGCAAATGCAAAATTAGCCTAAAACGGATTTTTCCATTTTCCTCTGTCTTCATGTTTTTATTATTTATTTGCAAAAACCCGGTAAAAATAGTATTTTTTTGAAACGCTCAATTCTTCGTGATAACAAATAATGTTTCCTAAATTTTACTTACGTTTTTTAAATTGATCTTTAATATGCGAAAAATCGTTTGATAAATTATTATATTTATATTATTATATTTTTTATTATATTATTATATTTATATTTTTTTTATTGATAAAAATCTAGAGTGTATTTTTTAATATTAAGGGCTAAAATTTACAGAGTTTGTAGTTCAATACTTGTATTTTAAGTTAAAAAAAATATTATATTATATTATAGTATTTATTTATTTATGCTCATATTAACGTACCGTATCATAGTTTCAACTGCACACAGAGCCTTCATACGATTATAACTCTTAAAGATTGATTCTTAAAAACATATGAGTTGACAGGTGAATAATAATTGTTAAGCAACATTTTCCGTATAAAAATTTGTAGAGTGTTTAATAATAAGGGAGCCAAGAACTACACACATCAAAAGTGTCTAGGGATCAACATATATTTTTGCAATAACTTTTCTCCTGATTGATATTAATTAAAATTTTCTTTAAGGATTCATCAAATAAAGTGTTTTCGTTTGTCACAGTAACGATAAACCAAGTCACCTTTGCATTAATAAAGAAATTTGCCATTTTCCTAATAAAGGGATTTTTGACATTTGAACCACTAACACAAAAGTTCGAAAAAAAGACTGAAATAACAGTTTTCTCTAAAATTTTATTGGGTAACTTAAACAATTAATAATCCGTATTTCTACCGCGAACACTAACAACACAAGAATATCGGTTTGGCATACTCAAAATGAGTTCATCCAAATCACGCTGTGGAATGGCCGCCCATGTTCGTTGCAACAACAAAAAAAGGTCTTCTTGCGACTGGATACCCTCCATATTCGGCAGAGCTCTTCTCTGTAGCATATCCCATGCATGCTCAATCGGGTTCAAGTCTGGCGACTGAGCAGGCCAGGGCAGGACATTGATGTTAGCTGCGGCGAGAGTCTGTCTTACAACTCTTGCGGTGTGCGGTCGTGCATTATCATGCATTAACTGAAATAAGGGACCGATTTGCACTTGTAGAAGAACGATGACGTCTGATACAATCGTCTCAGCATAAATTTGAGCGTTGAGGTTGCCTCTGATCCAAATCAACTCAGTTCTTCCGCCGATCCAAATACCCGCCCATACCATGATGGTTCCACCACTATAAGGATGGACTTCCTGGCAGGATTTTAATCGCTGTTGGCGTCCAGGGGTTCTCCAGTGTCGTATACGTCTTGTATCCGGTCTCATACCAAAACGAGACTCATCAGAAAAGCACACGAAACGCCATTGTTCTTCTGCCCAATTTCTGTGTTCAAGAGCCCATTGATATCGAATCCTACGATTGTGCATTGCTATAGGTGGTACCCGTAGCGGTCTTCGGGAATGAAGGTTCACTTCATGCAAGCGGTTTCTGACTGTTTGGTCGCTAATTAAGTTCCCTGAAGAGTGATGAAGCCTCACGGCTAACATCATGGCGGTTATTGTTGGAGCTCTTCGAGTTAAGATTTGAATGTATCGGTCTTGTCTCCGTGTGGTGCAGCGATACCGTCCTCCATGGCGCTCAGCCACGGTACCAGTGCTTCGGTATCGTGTCCAAAGTCGACTGATAACACTCTGACTTGTATTCAGAGCTAAAGCCACAGTACGTTGCCGGGAACCAGCTTCTATCATTCCCACGGCTCTGAGCATTTCTTCCCTGCTTAAATGACGTCGCCGCTCCATAATAACGTTGGTTTTAATCAGTAGTAGGGAAACAGTAGCACTAATAATGTCTTCAATGCGTTGTATGTTTTTATAGGGAAAATATTGACAGCTGATTTTCATCTTTTACTCGAATTTGATTCACAGTTCCTGATTCAAATTATGAAATGCACCAAAAAGGATCCATATAAATTTATAAAATCATAAATTTATTACAAAGCCACATCTCAATCTCAAGAAATCCGCATAAAAATGCTTGATCCCTAGACACTTTTGATGTGTGTACTTTAAAGGCGAGAGAAATGCTCGGGCTACAAAGTACGATGCTCGAACTTTAAAATAGTGTTGCTCTTGATGTGGACACTACTTTTTATCTCTCTTTAAGAGAAAATAATTAATTGCAATTACGAATATATAAGAAAAGTACTTCATTTATTTATACAAGAATATCTAGACAATCTTGGCAATAGGCCAAAAACACATTTTCTGTAAAAGGTTTCACCTTCAAGCTTTTTTCCAAATTATGAATTTTTCATATGCTATCATAAAATTTTATCTTTGATTTTTACTCTCTAGATAGAGCATCACCTGGTAAATACTGCGATAAAAACAGACCAGGGGGCCAATCGCCTAACTGGATTGCTTTGGAAAACGCTATCGCTTACGATTTCATTTTGTTATTTCTAGCCCCCTGAGGTTTTCAAATGCCTCGCGCTCTTTTTTTTTCTTTTGCATTGGTAATAACAATGTTAAAGAAAATGAGCGTGAGGTATTTCGGCGGTTAGAAATAACAAAATGAAATCGTAAGCGATAGCGTTTTCCAAAGCAATCTGGTTAGGCGATTGGCCCACAGGTTTTATATAATGTGTGCGTGACACTTAAAACAAAACACGCGAATCTTGTATCTTACACTCGCGAAATGGCAGCGAAATGTCATTATTTTTGTCTCCGTGCGCATGCGTAAGATACCAGGTTAAAATAACAGCCATGATAATATAGAAACAAACAACAAAATATAACTTTTTTATATTTTGATGATTACGACCTTGAATTTAGAAGTTTAATATTATTTATCTTTAAAAATTCACATATTATACAATACATACCTATCTCTGTGACGCAAAACTTTTGTTTTACAATCTTGCTAATTTTATGGCTGAAATATAATTTGAATGGTGTAATTTTTCGTAAACTTAACTTAGTATTAAATAAAGGCAAGTCATTTGGTCAAAATTACTATACTTTTTATTAAACATTGATGACCTAGAGTACATATACTATAGCTAAAAAGAATAGAAACAAACCGTAAATTTTGACCATGTTATATTTTTTTTATTAAGCATTTAACTGTTAGATGTTTAAATCATAAAAAAATATTGTTTTTTCTAGTACAAATTTCTTCATATTCTTCATTTGTAGTCACTCAACAGAGCTCAAATTATAATATTGTGATTACGCCATACTTACATTTTTGGGGAATTTTGTAATGAGACATTGACATCACGGTGAAAACGTCAATATGGAGTCGTAAAATTTTTAACTTAAATGATGATATAGTTTTTTTTAGGTGAATGATGAGTTACTTTCTGATGGTAAGTGATTTTGTTGGTTGTTTTTATGCGTCCTTTATTAAAATCTAAGGTTCTTTAAAATTTCGGCAAACTTTTATCGCGCATCTCGGCATTTCAAAGCAATAATTTCAACCCGAAACTCTGTGATTGAAGTGCGCATCGCTTAGTGTTCAACCACTAAGGCCCGTATTATAGAAAGATTCTCAGTAACGAATCTAGTCCTGAGCATAGATAGAAAGGGATGTCGCTATATAAAGCACATAGCGAGATCCCTTTCTAACTGTACTCTAGTAAAGATCAACACTTAGTTGTCATTCTGTAATACGGGCTTAAGTGACGGGAAATGACTTAGGTCTGTATTATAGAAAGATTCTCAGTGATTGATCTAGTCTTGAGCTTAGTTAGAAAGGGATGTCGCTATATATAGCACATTGCGATATCCCCTTCTAACTGTACTCAAGTAAAGATCGACACTTAGTTGTCATTCTGAAATACGGGCTTAAGTGACGGGAAATGACTTAGGTCTGTATTATAGAAAGATTCTCAGTGATTGATCTAGTCTTGAGCTTAGTTAGAAAGGGATGTCGCTATATATAGCACATTGCGATATCCCCTTCTAACTGTACTCAAGTAAAGATCGACACTTAGTTGTCATTCTGAAATATGGGCCTTAGAGTCCCGCATTTGGCTCTCAAATTTTTTAACGTCATCTGCGCTGCCACGTTCTATCTTGGAGTAAAAATCAAAGGTCTCTATCATATATTGTTCGCGAGATTTAGTAGGTATCACTTTTACATTTTTTTACTTTTAGTTCCTAGGGATTAAAACGATATGTTGGTCCGTGTAAACAAAGAAGGCAGCTCTTTTCGAATAGATGTGATAAAAAAATATTTTACTTGTAAGTTCAAAATATTGTTCGCGCTGAAACTACCGGCGTTGGCGATCCAAACCGGCGAACTCTGACGAACGATCGCAACGGCAGCCAACGGGCGTTACGGCAACACTCGTTTTTTGACAACGGACTTCGTAGATCGCCAAAGATACTCGCGTCGTTAGCAGCACATATTTCATTGAAAACTTATCTATATATATAAAACTCAAAGGTGACTGACTGACATAGTGATCTATCAACGCACAGCCCAAACCACTGGACGGATCGGGCTGAAATTTGGCATGCAGGTAGATGTTATGACGTAGGCATCTGCTAAGAAAGGATTTTGATCAATTCTACCCCCAAGAGAATAAAATAGGGAATGAAAGTTTGTATGAAACTTTGTCAATTTTAAATCGATCGGGCTGAGACTTTGCATGCAGGTATAAGAAGAATCATAGATGAATGTCATTGTGAATAATACAAGCCTGAGAACAAAAACTGTAGTCTACACTTCAGCTCTACACCGAAGCGAAGCGAGGGCGGGCCGCTAGTTAAACATATTTGTATCAAGATTGAGAATATTATTTCTTAAATCTCAACAAACAGTGACTTAAACGGGTACAGTACCTAATTGATCCGTAGTTCTTTTATCGGAGACCTAGTCCAGGCAACGAAAAGGTATAGAGGGAAATGCTTAGAACACAATTTTTGACTTCGTAACTTTGTTAGGACTTAGTTAGGAGGTAAACATATCAAAAGTCCCCGCCCGTAGCCCTTAAGCCGGGGGGAAGGGGGGGGGGGATTGAAGGTCCCATTTTTAGGTTTTTCGCATATATCTCGAAAACTATGCATCCTAGCGACATGAGACTTTGACAAAAGTGAAAGCTGATTAAATTTGCTACAAGTATTATTCAGTCAAGTTTTATGATATCTTCAATCCCCCCCCCCCCTTCCCCCCGGCTTAAGGGCTACGGGCGGGGACTTTTGATATGTTTACCTCCTAACTAAGTCCTAACAAAGTTACGAAGTCAAAAATTGTGTTCTTGTTTGTTTTCCGTCCGTCCGTCTGTCAAGACCCTTTTTCTCAGGAACGCGTGGAGATATCAAGCCGAAATTTATAACAGGTCTATTGTTCCTTGGAGCTATGACAAAATAAAACTTCTAAGCCAACGCAATTCAAAGATACAGCTGCTTATGCCCCAAATTTCCGCAAATTTTTGAAACTCGCAATGCAATCAAAACCTACATACTTCACGTGAACACAGAATCTTGAAATTTGGTACAAAGCAACGTCTTATAGCACAGATAAAGGAAAAATTGCGAAAACCGTAAATTTTAGTTTTATCACATTTTTTTATAATTTTTATATATCTACAGATTTATACGGAACCCTCGGTGCGCGAGTCTGACTCGCACTTGACTGTTTTTTTTTAATTTGTAAAGAGCTACTCTTACAACAGGTGTTGTGAAAAAGATATTGTTAACACGAAGAAATAGGCGTTTAAAAAAATGCTGTTTTCACGGTTTTTTTGCAAATAAATGAATTTCTGTTTTTAATTTCGATATCGAATTTTTACAGAGCGATCCAAATTCAAAATTTCTACAATTTTTGTAAAAACTTATTTTCATTTTATGGTACTATGACAGAGTAAAATGGAGAAAACCGTTTTTTCCCAACTTTGAGCCCAATTTACTATGAGACCAAAGTTGGTATGGTTTTAAACTAGCAGTAATTATATAACTCTTAAATCTTCCAGCTTGTTGCGCAAACAGCACAAAAACTTTCGCAAGTACGTCAGGAAATTCAACCTCTCGCCGACAAAATCAAGCCGATAAAGGAAGAATTCCAAAATATTCAGCAGCAGTATGAGCAGAAGAAAAGAGTTTACGAGGCGACCACTATCAACATAACATCACAGATGGAACCATTAAAAAATCAAGTAAAGGAGCTGACGGATCAATTGAATAACAAGGAGAGCGAATGGAAAAATTTGCGTCAAAAAATCACAAAAGCAGAGAGTTTGCAAGAAGTTGTCATGTTCGAAATGAGGAATTCGATGCAATCGCCGCGTAAGCCTTCGAAAATAGAAACGTTGAAAACGCAAGTGGCTGATATGGAGCATACTGTGAAAAATTTAGAAGAGGTAAGGGATCGATCGAATACTCATGTGTTTTTTGTGTGCGTGTCAAAACCCGTTAGCGATTTCGACTTTTAGTATCAACTTAGTAGCGTTTTAGCTTGGCATCAACTCCATGTCCAAGGCCCGACATACCGCCGTAGACAAAAAACAATCTCGAGTTTAAAAACACCCAAAAACAGACTGGATACTGATTATATCTATTCCACGCGTTAAAATGAAAGCCTAGGAAAGGCGCCCGTGCTAATGATACCTTATTATCCCATACTTAATATTTTTTATGCATTTATAAACTCAAGGAAGGTAACTTCACAAACTTCAATTTGCCTCAGGTAACAGACAGGATTCGAATACACACTTTTCACTTCGCCATTCCGCTTACTGCAGTAACTTGGGAAAAAATCGATAAGCCTCTTTAGCTTTCGATAGGTTAACTGGATAGAGCAATCGCCTGGAAAACGGAAAGTGCAAGGGTCTATCCCTTTCATTTGGTAGATGTGTCACATTGACACTTTTTCTTTTGCTTTGAAGAAAAGACATAGCGGAAGAGATAAATTTCGACAGTAATTAGTCCCTAGGTTGAGCAATGTCTAATACTTGTGGAAAGTTGTTTTCTACGAAGTAAATATCGGTCTAATTAAGTTAACCTCAGGGTAATTGTTTATTTCAACTCCTCTCACGATGCCTTTCATCGGTAATTTGGAAATTAGATACCTACTTAAAATTCAATTTAAAGTTTGTGTTATATTTCTAATTTAACATTTTAGTTAATGAAAATTCAAAATTTATATTTCAAACCCATGGACGTATAAAAAAAGGCGGACAGAGTCCCGGTAAACAACAAACTGTGTCGCTCAGAGTCGGCCAGGTCGCTATATGTACAAGCCGGCACACACACATTCACACCATAGTCAGCCATTACGCGTGCAAACGTCAAAGCAGCCGATACGTTAAGTGGAGATAAAAATAAGTTAAAACAAGATGTCTTGCGTGGTAAAATGGTGTAAAAACCGTAGTGACCGAAAGAAAAAAAATCCAGGAATCACGTTTCATAGGTAAATGAACAATATAATCACTTTTTTCTAGTTTTTAGAAATCGAAATCAATTTTCATTCTAAGCACAAAATAATTAATCTAAAGTCCAGTGTTGTCAATGTTCACGTAACCATATTACCTAAAATATGGGAAATTGGGGTGACATTAGCTTCAATCTATTATTTGTTATTCTTTTTTATCAGATTCCCTAAAGAAAATGTAGAATGGAGAAATGACTGGATCCAAGTTATTAGGAATTGTAACGGAGATGATGAATGTATTCCAAATAAATATAGTGTCATTTGCAGTATCCATTTTGAAGCTGGAGACTTATATACTACTAAAAGAGGACTCCGGCGTGTTGTTACGCATGCAGTACCTCAAAAGGTAAATTAAAAATTTTAACCGACTTCAAAAAGAAAGAGGTTCTATACGTCATATTTGTTATTTTTTTTTTCAATTGTTGTTCGTGCATATCTCCGAGATTCGTGGACCGATTTTGATGATTATTTTTTTGTTTGAATCAGTTTATTAGCGGGATGGCTGTATTAATTAAGTGCAGAGCTGATGAGTATTTTCGGAGGGAAACAATGGAACTCCTCAATTACAAACAGTACTCAATGCATGTTTTGTTAATTTAAGAAATATAAAAAAGAATGCAGGCCTGGCCAGGCATATTTAGGTGATTTACTCTGGCTTATGAAAAGTGGAAAATATAAACTTTTTCATACAAAAATAAAAACAGACTTCATGTTAGTTTTCCAATTACAGAGCATAATGCGACTCAGTGGCTACCAATGCCGAATTATGCTGATGATTAATTGGAACGTGAATTAGTTTTCAAATGCACCAGCAAAGTGCGCTAAGTTCAGTGTTGAAAAAAAAGTGGAATATAAAAAAAAGTCAATATTTGTTATATATAATAGTTTGAATTAACTTTGATTATTTAAAAAAACCTACAATGAAACAAAAGTTTTAAAATATTTTCAACGATAAATAATATTACTAACGATAATATTTAAACAAAACATTTCGATCAATGCCAACTTAAAAACAGTGCGTATGAACACAATTTTCGCCTTTCCAGTATCGATCGAAACGGTGCAGTGTGTTAAATTTTTGCCACGGGACCAACGTTCGACGCATCACCGCGGTCGTCGGTTCAAATCCCGCACTCGTGTTTTATTTTTTATTATATTTTTTTTCCATTTTTTATATATTTGTTTTAGACCCCAGCACCTGTTCTTATTTTTATTTGTCTCCCTTTTATTTAGACTTTATAATTATAATTTTTGGACTAAAGGTGGTAAACTGTGGAGCATGTGGAAGTTTTTTAGCGCCGGGCAATGCTGTTGTTTGCTGTGCTTGCCCAATAAAATATCATAAGGCCTGCCTCGCCATCTATTAATATCAGAGAAAAAACTTGAATTAATATCAAAGAAAAAAAATACTGCATAAATAAATAGTATTATTGCATAAGTTGACAAATAATGCTATGCAATAGCTTTACCGCGGCAGTCCCCGAGTGCAACACGTTTTTTTTTTAAGTACACGATTTGCATACCTATTTTCTAAATACAGTGGAGCCCCGGTAATCCGGCCCCTGGCTAATGCGGCACCCCCTATAATCCGACATCGTCTATTACATACAAGTATTCGCTAATTCACGATTGAACAAGTTACAACTTGTACGCACCATCACAATTGTGCTCGACGCGTAGGGTATTGTTTTTTATATTTTTTTGTAAATTCTATAGCATTTGACGTTACTTTTATAATAAAACATAATCTTTCTATTGTGTTGTTTAATTTACTCAATTTGACATACATAACAAAGTATGTTTTGTAATCTTATCATTGGATCTGTAATTTGTCGGATTACAAGGTACTCTTTTGTAAAAAAATTCGGACTATAGGGGGTCTTAGGCAGTACTCTATAATCCGACAAATTCGATAGTTCGACACTGCCCTGCAAAATGTTTGTCGGACTACCGGGGATCCACTGCATTCTTTTAAGACCCTTGACTTTGATACCTCGCTTGACGGGTTATAAGCATTTTTTTTCTAAAGGTTTCATTTTGGCGCCTTATTATTGGGCATACATACATGCATACACGCTCGAAAAACATTATCCACCGCAGTCGGGTAAAATTTTGAACAATTAAAATATTTTGATCTTTTTTTTGGTAAAAAATTGGCTAACCTAGCAACCCTGCATTCACTCACTCATAGATAACCGCCGCCATTACGGTGCCTCACTTTTGTCTTAGCCGAAATTCTGTCCGCCTTTTTTTATACGTCCTTGTTCAAACCTATGTTATATACATAAATAAATATTTCCAACACTCACACCAATTAGCCTAGCCCCAAAGTAAGCACTGTAAGGCTTGTGTTATGGGATACTAGGGTAACGGATAGAATACGTATACTGTACATATATAAGTATATATAAATCGAAATATATATTAAACATTCATTACTGGAGTACAAATGCTCGTATTCATCACACAAACATCTGCCCCCACCGGGCTTCGTACCCGGGACCTCACGAGTCGGCGATACCATGAGACCCGGTGTAGAAACCACTCGGCCTCGAAGGTCATCAAAGATATTAAGTTTTGTCGTCAATAGAAACTTACTTCAAATTCAGTTCATGTTATGTAAAAAATATTTAGAATTTGACATTTTAAGTTAGGTAAACTAATTCAGATTTTGCATTCCAAGGTTATTCTCATACATCAAACTCAACTTATGTTTGTTATTTATTTTAATTAATTTGTAGAAATTATGCAAAATTTTCACTTGAAGGATTTTTATGCTTTCATACTCACTTGAAGTTAATAAATAATGACTGCTAAATTTCAGTCAAAGGGTATGTTGATAGGAGTTGAAATTAGCCACTTATGAGGTGGATCATAAATGCATCGTCGAGTAGACAATAAACTACTAATTCAATGCCAACATGAGGAATACAATGAAATCACAGAATTCGCTTGTTAATGAGCTTACATTATATACATGGTACGTCCTAGTATACGAGTCATTGATGTGCAGGCCCACATTTAGTTTATGTTTAAAATGTCTTGGTATTTCGACTCTTCATTGAACTCACGATTGAAAGCTTATTATACTAAATATAAGACTTTTAAATACGTCAAATAACTGACGACCTCCGTGGCCGAGTGGTTTGTACGCCGGGTTTCATGGCTGTCGCCGACTCGAGAGGTCCCGGTGGGGGCAGATGTTTTTGTGATGAATACGAGCATTTGTACTCCAGTCATGGATGTTAAATATTATTATGTATTTCTATATAAATATACTTATATATGTACGGTATATGTATTCTATCCGTTTCCCTAGTATCCCATAACACAAGCCTTACAGTGCTTACTTTGGGGCTAGGTTGATTGGTGTGTTGGTTTAAAAAAAAATCTGAACTATACTCTGTAAATGGACTTTTACAGTTGTATTAGTTTAAGAGCTAGCGGATTTCCTGCTCGAATTGGAGCGTCCATCTGGGGAAGTTTAAATCTCCTCTTTACAGAAGACAGAGTGAAATAACACTACCATTGGTGGTGAAGTCTTTCTGTTTGTAAGGTTCCAGGGCTCCGCGGGGCAGGGATGGGATCTGCGTAAAGAGCGGTGCCTGTGATGCTTTATCGCGCAAACTCAGCTGAACGGATTTCAATTCAATTTGACACATTGCGTCAGCCAGACCGTATGTTAAAAAAAATATTTTTTTTATGATTATTTACATAATTTTTGATAGGAACAGCGCACAATAAGTGCTCGCCAAGGAGCCGTTGAGGAGCAGACCAAACTTTGGGAGAATACGCTTCAGTTGCTGCGGTGCAAGATGCGTTCTCGCACTGAGCCAGCCGCGCGACAGGGGCGCATGCACATCACGCAGCACTCGCAGATGCTGACATTAACTTAAATCAAAATTATGTCACGCCAATACTTAAGTTTGACTCAAATCGATGCTGCCAAGTTTTTTGAGATAACATAGACCATTATGTGGACCGCTTAACTGAGTCCTCGTCTGCGGGGTAAAGGGTGTGGGGAGCACGAAAACGGGGACTATGAGAGGTGCGACAGGCACATTCTTCACAAAATTACAAGTGCCCGCCGCCCGCACCTCTCACGGCCTCCGTTCTCGTCAACCCCCCCACCCTGTACCCCGCAGTCGAGGTCTTAATTAAGCGGTTTACCTATGACAACACGTGACTTAACGAAGCATTAAATTTATTTGACGTTACTGGGTATGTTTGGCATTGTGCATTATCACTCTGTATGATTTCCTATTAGAATTGAATAAAAAAATACAAATAAAACATCTGAAGTCATTATTATATGCTCCGTAATGGTAAAACTCCGCGGCAACCATTGCTTAGCTTTTTAATTGCATACCGGTTCATGTTCCACAGAAAAATATTGTACAGTCAATTTCGAAATGAAAATGCAAAAAAGCTGAATAACAACCATAATCATGGTAATTATTGTTTTCAAAAAGTCTTGTAGAAGCCGTTTAGAAGTAGATAAATAGCAAACTTATAAAAAACTAACTGCTGTTTGGTTAAGCTCTGATGCCATTACATTGTAGTTGCAGGAGATTTGTAAGGACAATTTACTTTGTCTCAAAAGATTAACTGGATGATAGTTTCCAAGCAAAACTATTTTCTTGGCTGCGCAGTCTGACTGGCAAATAAATCTCTTTACGCGAATGGGAATAGCTAAGGAGTTTATCTTTAGTTGTTATTTGTAATTTTGGATAATTCAATTTAACGGTATTAAACTCCGGAAACAAAAAGCTTTGTCATTTCCCGGCTCGCTGTTTGATTAAATTCAACGTAAAATTAAATTATGTCTGGACAGAAGTTGAGACTTTGTTTTAACACGGGAGCTGTTTAGGAAATGTGCAAACTCCCGTTCCTGGTCTAAAAATATAACAGACTATAAATATTCAGAGCGGTTGACTTTCGACAATGCTTAAACTTCATCGGAGCTTTGGGAGCTGGTTTACACTGTGAGTTGCGATGCGCTGCATCGTTTAAGCCAAACAACGATCCCTGGCTTCAGATTCTAGCCAAGTTTAAGTATTGTATAATAATAGGCAATAAATTCACACGAAAGTTCTAATATACAATTGTTGTGGGTGCAAGGATTAGATGTACATTAATGTTGAGAAAGCGAGAGAGTGAATATTATGTTAACAGTCAAAACTCATTAACGAACATTAAAAGTGGTTGATGATACCTTAATACCTTTAATATACACATCCACATACATTTATCGACACACTTGGTGTTATAAGTTCTGACGGTCTCCAGCTAAAAATAAATGTTACATTGACCATAAAAAACATTTTACGCAGTCTGAAGGTGATATATAAACCATAATTTTCATGTTTTAAAGATGAATTATTATAATCAACCTAATTTTTTCTACAGACCGTTGAAACACTAAGTGGGCCGCTAGATGTGTCCGTGAGTAGGTATAATTTTGATGTAACATAAAGAATAGTGATATAGATGTTATACCTCTATTGATGATATATTTTTACTGGCGTCCCGAGGATGCAGTGATGCAATCCGGAAAGCAGAAGGTCGACGAGAGAGAAGAACAAAGAAGCTCAAAGCTCAATAGATTACTTAGCTATAACTTCCTTGTATCAAATAAAACCCATTTTATTTGAACTCGGTAGTAGGTAAGTACCTGGTTTGTTTGTTTTATGGCGGACTGTTTGCGAAAGCCCTATTCTGCGTCTATTTTGCGTGTATATTATATTAGCCCTGGTACCCAGTAGGTAGCTTCTCCAGGAAACCCGCCAGTCCACGTTATTTTATCCCTAATTCGCAAGCACGATACGGCTACTGAATCCAGTCCAAGAATTTCCCAGTGAACTTTTTGTACAAGGCTAAGTTAGAACACGCCATGATTGAATTGAAACGGTTTGACGTAATAAAGGTTAATTTTTTGCCCATCCAAACTTTGAAGTTATTTGCTTGTACCTTGTGCGGAAGGTAATCAAATAATAGAAAAGTCTCTATTTCTTATTTCGTTTTTGGGGAGGGCAAAGGTCAATAAGATTAACGGAATCTTACAAATTCTCTTTTTAGTGTCTCCTATATAAATTGAACTTGTATTACGACAGCAAAGTTGTTATTTCCTTTTTTAATTTGAAAAAAAATTGTTAAATTTAAAAAAATCACATAACATCATGGATTAGTAATACAAATCGGTACAGCTTCCTTATTACTTTAATGTGCCTATTGGTCAAGTCTTCCTCCGACATTGGATTTGTTTCCCTTAAAATTGTCCAACCACATTTATTGCTTATGGCAGAACTAGTGGTGTATCTACTTTAGTTTTACACAAGATATTCTGGGAATAAATATATAATATTGTAATTACCAATGCAAAAGAAAAGAAAGAGCGCGAGGCATTTGAAAACCATCGGCGGTTAGTAATTAATAACAAAATGAAATAATAAGCTATAGCCATAGCAATCCCGATAGGCGGTAGGCCCCCAGGATTTTGTATTATGACACTTGCATTATATATTTTTTCCCATATCATTTTCTGTAAAACTAAAGTAAATACACCACTAGTTCTGCCATAAGCAATAAATGTGGTTGGACAATTTTAAGGGAAACAAATCCAATGTCGGAGGAAGACTTGACCAATAGGCACATTAAAGCTATAGCCATAGCAATCCCGATAGGCGGTAGGCCCCCAGGATTTTGTATTATGACACTTGCATTATATATTTTTTCCCATATCATTTTCTGTAAAACTAAAGTAAATACACCACTACTTCTGCCATAAGCGATAAATGTGCTTGGACAATTTTAAGGGAAAGAAATCCAATGTGGTAATGCGTTACACCCCCTGGTAAAATATTTAAAAATATCAAAGATAGTTTCTTTTTTGGAATGATAAAATATGCTACCGCGGCCCTCGCGGACCGCGTCGAAATTCTTCTAGCCATTTTTAAGCTGCAAGGCAGCGGCATCTCTTCGCATTATAGGTAACCCACAATGTCAAATGAATACTTTTACAAGTATTAAACATTTGAAAGAAGAAATAGCAATTATAGTTCTAATTTTTATTATTTTAAAGCATGTAACTGCTTGATGTTTTAATCTAAAGAAAATATAACTAGAAAAAATTCCACGCGGACCAGGCAGCAGATGGGACTCGAACATGCACCCTTCGCAATCCGGGCGAATGCACTGACCAATTATGCTACCGCGGACTTAAAAGACCGCGGTGAAATTCTTCTAGCTATTTTTAAGCTGCAAGGCAGCGCCATTTCTTCACATTATAGGTAACCTAAATATAACTAGAAAAAATTCCACGCGGACCAGGCAGCAGACGGGACTCGAACCCCCACCCTTCGCAATCCGGGCGAATGCACTGACGCTACCGCGGCCCTCACGGACCGCGTCGAAATTCTTCTTCGGAGGGTCGTTCGAAGGGTGCGGGTTCGAGTCCCGTCGTCTGCTGCCTGGTCCGCGTGGAATTTTTTCTAGTTATATTTTCTTTAGATTTAAACATCAAGCAGTTACATGCTTTAAAATAATAAAAATTAAAATGATATAATATGCTCACGCAATCTAGTTATTAGGTTCGAAAGTAGGCCTAGTAATTTGGCTGATTAACATTAATATATAGGCGCAGTGGTATTGATTCCGGCATGATTCTCTCACCCTAAAGTTAAATTTGACAACCGTGAATCCTTATCATTCTCTTACGGAATGAAAAGGAGAGACCGATATTGAATTTGGTTTTAGGTTTTTGAGGATCATGCCAGAATCGACACTAGTACCCAGGTAAAACAGTTTTAGCCTCCCAATATCGCCATCAAATATTTTTTGTGCGGCTAGACTGACAAAAAGTCGTACACGGTGCCAGCGCTTGCATGTCAGCGATATTGCAGTTAATTACTGTATCAGTGCAATCGCAGTATTATTGGCAATTAAATTAATTGATCATTTTAAATTTAATTTGCGGCTTCGTGTAGTAGCACATTATCTGCAAACTTTTCAGCCTAAACTGGAGCTAATGAATTTTCCGTGGCATGACTTATTGTCACAATGGGGTACCCTCCGTGCGAACCATAGATTTTCTAGAAGACAGACAAAGTTTTGACACTTCGTCAACATTAATCCGCAACTTGTGGCAACCATGGTGAGCAGTCATTTTGCTAATGGCTGTGCCCCGGGCCGGGAGAAATTTCCCACTTGGCTGTTAAAACCGTTACGCATTCACTTTGTAATCATCTGATTAAATTCAAAGAGATCGAGACCTTTTTATATATTATAAAATAAGCGGTCCTTTTTTACCAAACTTAAAAAAAATATCAAACTCGTGTGTGATTGGCATAAATGTGTTCAATCAAATGTGACAAATTGTTTCAATTTAGTAGTAAGTGCACTCACGGTACCCTGGGATCAGAGTTCCATGCCGGGAAAATTTATCTGAACACCATTATGGATATTGTTTCTTTAAGCAAATCGAAATTCAATTTTTCGTGTTTTTTTCTTCTGTGTAATTTCGTTGAGTTATGAGATAGTAATTTATTTCAAACAAAATTGTGTTTACTGAAAATATCGTTGATAAGCATCTTATTGCGTTCATGTTTATTACTTAAAAATACAAATCCTCTTTAAAACTACTTGATGGTACATATTGGCTCTTTTTCGTCTGCGAAATCCATTGTGTGTAGAAATTATTATCACATTAATGGATTAATGTAAAAACATTACCGGGTTTTCGCAATTTGTACAATCAACTAATTGTGACTTACTGGGTTTTCGCTGTAGAACGATGAAGCAGATTTTGTTTACAATAAGCTGTAACACCAATAACTTTGTTATTATTGGAATACATTGTATTGGTTCTGATCCTATTAATTAATGGCTGAATTGTTATTAACATCTCTTATCACAGACAGCGAGGGCCATCCATACTTAAGACATAGGAAAGGTCTTTGTTACTGATACCGACTGGAAATCAAAAACGGACCCTCTTAGAAACGTCAAGAATTAAGTAAAAATTCAATAAATCTCGCTTTATACCCGTTCAAAAAGTGTTTTATAAATAAAAAAAAAAAACACAAAAATCTTTATAAAACACGTTTCAGCATAATTATTTATGGTGAAATATTTTTTATTTGACACTACCAAAAGTATTGGAATCTTAGACTGAGTATCTAGTGAAATCCTAAGTTCATCGTTAGAGTAGATTGCTATTTATAATTAAGAACATACGCATTTGATTTTAAAAGGTTTAAATGATTCTGGTAGAAAAGATGTTTTTTTAATGTAACTGTA